ACCTGGTGTCCCAGTTTGCGGTTGTTTTTAGCCTTGTTCCCGGGAAGAGGCTTCCCTGAGGGCAGAGGCCCGGGCTCCCTGCGTGCTCAGGGAACATGTCTCTCTTGCAGGGCCCTGGACCGTCAATGTTGTTTTCCGAAAGCTCTGCTCTGCTGTGGGGCACTGCGTTTCTTACGAAGAGCTCAAAGACTTGAAAAAAAACAATATCATCCACATAGATGTCCGAGAAAGATGGGAGATCGACAGGTTTGGAAAAATCCCAGAGTCCATCAATATACCTTGTAAGATACTCAGAAATACAATGCCTAGAAATATTTGCCTAGAAATACAATGCCTTATTTTTGTTCAGCTGTCAATTCAGTGTGATGATAACTTAGAAGAAACTTAGCTAAATAGCATCTAGTAAGTTGCAAGACTTGGCATTTTCCAAGGACAGTTGCCAGGGTAAACCGATCTGTGGGTGTTGAACCTTCAGGTGAGATGTCTTTTCCTTGTCTCCCAGTGAGTGAGTTAGTGGAAGCGCTGCAGATGAGCCCAGGGGACTTCAGGGAGCAGTACCATCAGAAGATGCCCACCAAGTCGGACCATGTGGTTTTCTCCTGCTTGGCAGGAGTACGGAGCAAACAGGCTCTGGATTTCGCTGTGTCCTTGGGTTTCAGCAGGTGAGTCTACAACTTCTGCCGTGAGGATGGGATTAAAGAGGTTGCTGTGAAGCAAAACTCTTCCTCATCTTCCCAGCAGCTTTTACAGCTCCTTCATAAAATGCTACTTGCTTATTCAGCTTCATGCACACTTGTAGTGATGTTAAGGTGGCAGCAGGATGCTCGGAAAGGTGGAGATCTGCCCATTTTGGTAGAAGTACAATTTTAAATTACATTAAATAGTTTATGAAACAGTGCTTTTTGGTAAGTTGCGATTCACCTATACAGCTCATCCAAGGGAAAAAAGTAAACCTTTGCTTTCAGTAAACCAGTGCATCATTTGCCAGAGATAAAATAGTGAAGGGAATAATTAAAAGACAATGAAACTGATATAATGCAAATGAAAGCAGGATTTTGTTGGCAGAATTCTTACACCCTTAACAGAAGGTGTCTCACTGATTTGAAGATTGAAAGTGAAATTTCGGCAATTGGTTGTTTGCACATGTTTTTACAGAACCACATTTCTTGAACTGGAATAATTCTGGCAATTACAGTCAAAAAAATGTCAAAGACACTCTTGTTTTTATAGGCATATTATTTTAATAAGTGCAAAATATTCTTCTTCATACCTGTTTTTCCTGCTGCCTAACTGAAGGAGCCTGTGTTGTGTTGCATGGTGGGGCTTTGTTTCCTTTGTTTAGGTTTGGTTCCTCACAGGCTTATGTGAGATCTATACAGTATGTGGGTTCACAAGGAGTTAAAGATCAGTGTGTTGCTTTTATTTGATGACATAATACCATGTAAATCTCCACCGCAGTGAGTCAGTTCTCTCCTTAAGAAAAGAAAGAAGGAAAACAAGGCAGTGGCAAACCATTTCATTGCTGAGCCTAGTACTCCTCTCTTGACGTTTAGTCTCCAGCCCTGCCTCATTTGGAGGAAATGTGCTGCAGAACGTACCTGAGAAAAGCACTTGTTTGGTATTCCTTAGACTGTGTCTGGCTCCTCAAACCTCGAAACAAGCATGTATAATTTCAGAGCATTTCTGCATGCTTCGCTTCCTGTTTTTTTCTTTTGCCATGCCCTCTTCCGCAATTTTATCAAGAAGAGCCCTTCATAACGCTGATGAATCTTCTGTGTGTTTTCAGAGTTCAGCACTATGCTGGTGGCTTTGAGGAATGGGCAAAGCGTGAACTTCCAGAGAAAAAGTGAAGATGACTACCCTGCCCCACGAAGGCTTCAGATGCTTTGTTTGTTGAAACCTTTCAAGATGAAAGGGGTTTAAAATTCAGAACACGTGGATTCCAGTCCCAATATACAGCCCTCTCTGGTTTTCTTTTGTAACTGGACATGCACCTACAAGTAGCCATGCATTTTAACTGGTGGTGTCAATCAAATCTGAAGATTATGGTTTCAAGAGAGAATTTTATGTTTGTTCAACATTTACAGTGGGCTATGTTTTTCACTGTAACTAGGTGAAGAGAGCTTTAATAGTTACTGCTAACTAGGATTTTGTGTAATGTGGTTTATGTCTGCTTTAAAAAATGGTGATAAAGCTTTCTTATAAACTTATGTTTTCCTTATTGACTGTGTCAGTGGTTTGTTTAGAATAGTCTGAAGTTATTAGAATAGCCTTTGGGTAACTGTCCTAAGCATGACTTTATTATACTTCTTGTATAGTTACAGTTCTGAAACATTGTTTGTATTCCAGAGAGTGCAAGGAGATTCATGAGCTATGTGACTGCAAGACCTACAGTCTGCTATCAGTCACAAAATACAACAAGAAGCTGACCTAGTGTTAGAATACTTGCCTTTTAAAATGGTGTATGGTTTCTTGTTTTTTAAAAAAAGCATATCCATATTTACACACAAATCTACTGCTGTTTACAAAATGCTATGTCGTGTAGTCAAATTTTTCTGTTCCTGTGGCAGCTCAGTGTCAAGTGGGAACTTGCCTGCTACAGAGCTGTAATCATTGCAGGGTAGAAAAATTGAGGTGTCCAAGGAAGTTACTTCACTCCTCTCTTTCCTGTACATAAATTTGTATGTCTTAGGCTTTAAAAAACAAACAACCAAGCCCATCCTCACCTATGAATTTGCATAGTTATAGTTTTAAGATTTTTTAATGCTGTTAAGAATTCAGAGAAGCTAGCAAAGCTGAATTACTTTGGCCTCTAGAAAACTTGAGCACAGAAGTTCATGTTTCTGCAGTGCCTGGAAAAAGAAATAAAAATAGGGTGGTGATCAGTGGTGCAGAGTCTACTTGGAGGCCTGTAGCTAGCGGGGTCCCCCAGGGGTCAGTCCTTGGTCTAGTCCTGTTCAATTTATTCATCAATGACCTGGATGAAGGCACAGAGTGCTCCCTCAGCAAGTTTGCTGATGATACCAAACTGGGAGGAGCAGCTGATACCCCAGAGGGCTGCGCTGCCATCCAGAGGGACCTGGACAGACTGGACAGCTGGGCAGTGAAAAACCTTATGAAATTCATGGCCAAGGCCACAAGGCCAAGTGCAAGGTCCTGCACCTGGGGAGGAATAACCCCCAGACACCAGTACAGGCTGGGGACCGACCTTCTGGAGAGCAGCTCTGCAGAGAAAGACCTGGGTGTCATGGTGGATGATAAGTTGACCATGAG